AGTGTGCCACCAGGATGATGACTCCTGAAGAGCATCTGGGGAATACATTAACAACAGGAAGTTTAAAATGAACTATCAATAATATTTATCGCAGGAAGAGATGGTGGAGCAGTGCGGGGTATCGGGGAGTTTTTCACTGTATACAAACATAATGTCTGACTCATGTGTCCTTGGAAAAGTTGCGTTGGTACTCTGCTTACCATGCCCTCTCAGTGTTAACACAGCCGGGGCAACTTATTCTTCAGGTCAAATGTAATTAACTCAGTATCCTGGGGATTATACAGAGTATATAAACATCAGAAGAGAGACACAGTCTTGTCTCCTTAAGTCTCTTTACATAGTTTTCACAAATTAATATTCATCATTATGTTTGACAATAAATTAAGGACCAACCTTTTTGCAAGGTTACCCGTTTATATGAAAATATAGGGGCGTGTGGTGTAGTGGGTTGTCCGTAGGTGTTTGGATCAGGGGAGCACAGGTTCAAACCCCACTGCAGTCAGCATGTCGTTGTGTCTCTGGGCAAGACACTTCACCCCAAATTGCTCCTGTGGGGATTGTCCACAGTATTGAGTATGTAAGTCGCTTTGGATAAAAGTGTCTAACAAGTAATATGATGGATGATCATTCTAAATGAAGTCAGCCCTTTTAATGGCAGTAATCAGAGGTTATTTGCAAGATTCATATCGGTTAGAACCCTTATTAAAAGGCTGTTTTCCTCTGTTTCATGGTTGCTTGATACAAGAAAGGCACAACGGAGGGAGTCCAGTGTTGTAGTATACAGAACCATAAGTACTAGGATGAGTGGGTGGATGGATATGTCCTACGAACAGATCAAAGGTAAAGTCCCATGTGAAACCAACAGAAATGTCTCGTACAGTATGCAACTTACATAACGGAATATATATAGCATAGCATTTTCTACAAACCTCTCCATGTATAGAGTACACTACATTACTGTCAGACAACAATATACAGTATGGGAAGAATCCAATCCAATGCACACAACTAATTTGTCATACATAATTTGATTTATGGACCCAGCTGGCCAAGAAATAAAAGGGCTGTCTACAAACCAGCTTTAGAAGATTCGTTTTTTTTAAGTGGTAAGTCAACCAGATACAAATGCAAACGGCATGTGAAAAAAACAACAAACATTTCAAGAAACTGTGAGAAGAAAATCTGTGTTAGATGTGGTTACGTTTAAGCTTATTAAGCTTATATGCCAACAGCAAACACTATGCTAAAACCAATGAGTTACTGTAAAATGTTTATTGAACATGTTAGAGTTTTTACACTTTACTGTACTGGATCTCTACAGATTGGAACCATGTCATGCATACTCACCAAATAATAAAGACAGATTTATAGAATTAAAGTCATTCTTATCGGGGCTCTGATTTTTACTTCAACATCTTCCTAATGATCCTATCACAGGTAGAGTGTGATAAGGTAAGCCCAGGCTTTAAATCCATTCTTAGCTGCCAATGTTCAAAATAGCAGGGAGCTAAAAGGTTAAGGGCTACTTATTAATGCATTAATTATGAACTTCCTCTCTGCCTGGAGCAGTGGACTTTGCTGGGTTACGACTGAGGGAAAATCAAGGAATAAAATGTCTATTTTAAACTAATTCAGTATGGCAATGGCAATATGCAGCTTATCAGGCAAGCTGTCAATGTGGAGCCAGGTAAGGTCAGGATATGGATGAAAGGAAAGTATTTGGCTTATCAGACATCTACATTATATCATATGTTTTCAATCTGATCTCAGGCCAACTCACAGCTATTTAAGCTATCCACAAGAGCCATGCGGGCTGATATATATGGCCAGTTGATACAAAACAGAGGAACATAAAACCGCTGAATAAAACGTACACACACAAATCCAACAACTTGGAATTAAAAAGGATTAGTGAGGGGGTGTTGCAGAGTATTTCTAGCAACAGAATGTCCTGCGTATAAATAGAGAATGATATGCGTTCGTAAGGCCAGGAGTTCTCCAACACTGGCTGTGGACACTGAATATCACTTCCACACAGAGCACTACCTACCCATGATGCTTTGTTTTTTCTTACTAGGTCGCCATGTGACCTTTCCCTGAGGGTGGGAGTATTAAATTATGTCAACATTTATGCTGAGAAATAAAGTAAAAAGACACTCTCTGTATCTACTGTACACCTGTATGCAACATATTTGTTTGTGCATGCTCTCGTGCATACAGTAGGCAGCAGTATACTTCTGCAGGTACTGTATTTTGTCATGTTTGTTTCTCTACCCATGGGGTCTGCTTTTGGTATGTTAATGAGCCATTTCATCGCAGGCTGTGTAATGCAGGCTGTGTAATGCAGGCTGCATAATGCGCTGAATGCAGGAATTGTATTTTGCATTTTGAGTGCACTCTCATGACTTCACAATATATTTCTCTAGCCGTTCTGCTTCATAGAAATTGTTTAGTTTTTTTGTACCACGATTATAGATTCAGACAGTTTGAAAAATACGTATTGAATCTCTTTCTGATTATGTAATTCTCTTTTTGGCAAAGGAGAATAAGATCAGGCAAAACACTTCAATCTGAATACTTCATGAAAATGTTCTGCCGTGTCAAGAATATGTTGAATCAAGTCACTCTTTTTTCATGCTTGAGGAAAAAATGAATTGCTAGTCTGCCTTTCAATTATTCAATATACAGACCTCATACAGTATCTTATCTATACAAAATATGATTCTACAAAAACATTATTTTCTAATTAGCATAGATGTGTCACACACCTCTCCATTGTTTCTTTCGTGTGCTCCCTTTAAGATTTTCTTCCCTTGGGTTTTTTTTTCAAAGCCTTACACCTTCCTCTTCAATTGTACTTCTTCTCGGGAAAGACCCACCACTGAAATCCCAGAGGTATGAGCCTGAGTGTCAGCACTGTAACTGTGAGCCGTCATAATAAGTCTGCTCCTACTCTTTTCGCTGGTTGTTATTCCACTGCCTACACTGCATCATCCTTTCACTGTCTCCGTCTCTGTGTCTATGGCATAGACCCAAGACTTGACTTACATAGGCGATACCTCTATGTGCTTGTAATATACTTTTAAATATGCAAGTGTTATTTGTCTTATTGTTGATGTTATTTGTCATTATCATTTCGGATGAAAAGCCCACTCACCAACTATCAGATGTTTTGACTGTCTATCAAGTTCTTCTTCAGTGAACGGAGATGGCTCAGTCGTCATCCCGTGTGGAACTTCACTCGTAGTGGCTTCCTTGGTCCGTCTCTGGCCATCCATTGACTCCTGTTCGATGGCCTTTGACCTCCTTTTGGGCAATACTGTGGCCAGTTTTGTTCTTAACAGCCCATTGGGCGTTCTGATTCTGAAGTTCAATCCATCTCTTGTACAAAGTCCACATCATCCTCACTATAAAATAAATAAAACATACATAGAATATATCATACAGTATATTTGATATGCATATATTCATTCCTCTCAAACACAGTTTTTATTATTCTATATATCTGATGCGACTTTTTATAATATGACTGAACAATACCACAACCACGGGCACTTGCATTCTGATTAGACCATCAAAATCAGATGATGTGATATTGGTACAGCTTGTTCTTCTGGAATACATTTTCCTATGAACTTTCATTAAGTAGACAGGGGTATCCGTGACTCTGACGCCATAAAATAAATGAACATTCCTGGTTTGTGCTTTCTGTTTGGATTGATGATAACAGTGAACTGCTTGATGTGGCTGACCTTTTCACTCTGACACCTTGATGAATACAGGACCTCTGAAAATTATTCAGCTTTGATGGCAAAGTGCTTAAATGCTACCACTGTGACCCGATAATCCATTCATAATCAAATCATTTGGCAGACTCTGTGCATTTAGTTCATCACTCAAATACTTGGTTCTGGATTCATGTTTGCCTTGTAACATATACAGTAGGTAAAACCAAAATCATGAAGTTAAGTTTGGTTTTAACTAATTAGCAGTAAATATTAAATAACTACCTTCCCACACAGTAACTTCAACATGGTGGATGTTTCTGGACATTATTGTCAACATTGTTGTTATTGTTATGAAATTGAAAGCACTATTAAAGTCATGGTGCAATTGTGTGCTTTCTGCTGGGTCTGACATCAAGGTGTTAAAGGCCAGACAGCTGATGTAAATACAAACTACGTTATCATTTTTAGAAAGCCAAACCAGCAAGAAAAGACAAATATCCAAATTATTAGACTAAAAACCAATAATTATAACTTACTTAAATGTAAAAGATGTAATAAAAAGTTTCACACCATGACAATTTTGTCATTCGTTTGAAGTCAATATGCAGTTTATTTTACATTACAATGGATTATGCAAAATGTTTGATATTAACACATATGTTAGCTCACATTGCCTGCCTCTCAATTATGATTCAAGTTTCAGTAATATTTTCACATGACAGTCTACTGACGGTACATTCAATGTGTTGGAAGGCATAGCCTAGTGTTTAAAATGAAAGCACATAATTCTTTAGGAAAAGGTAAAAAATAAAGTTTACCTGAGTTAGAGGAGTGCAATATCCACATGCATTGCAGCACGATCTCAACAAACATCAGTGCGCATCGTGGAGTGTGCGCTTTCTTTCGTTATTTACGGTACATTTTAGACGTCTGTTATAAATGCCTGACAGTTATTAGCCCAAAGAATACCTCTAACTTGTATTATATTCCACGGATATTGAGCACAATAAATGAATGTTTTAAAAGAATACGAAGATACACCTGAAAAGTATAATTATACACAGATATTTGTCAGAAATAGAACCAGAGGGATGACGTGTATGTCTGGGTCCTTCGGACTTCCGGGTGTGTGTAAACAGATCGCAAGCGGAGTCGCCTCGCCCAAAAGATGTGAGTTTATGTTTTATGTTGTGTCATTTTTACCTGGATATATTTAATATGTATTAGCTAACATCCCCGTGCTTATAACTCTCTGTTTTCCTTGTTCATTAGGTCTAAAGTAACGTTTAAAATCACCCTGACGTCGGACCCCCGGCTGCCATACAAAGTGTGAGTACACTGACAGCTCAGCAGTCACAGCTTTACCGCTACATTCAACTATATTTCACCTTTTTAAACTATTTTATTATAGATTTAGTTTACCGGTACCTTAGATCCTGGTATATTCTGTTGTTGTGAAAACATGTGCTGGCGTTTTTAGCTTGAGCTACAGGGCACGTTGTCAGGGAGACAACATCTGTTAGTGTCAGGCTGTGATTCACATATAGATAATACATAAAAACACCAGACAACAGTTCCGTTAACTTCCGTTTCGACATTTTTATTGCATTGTGAATTCAATTGACCTGACTATATGCAATCTATCAGGGTTTCTTTTATCAATTTAACTTTGTCACAGATATTTTTTCTCTTAGGCTACGACTTTTGTCCGCCGATGCAAGTATGACTGGACCACATTTGACTGCTGGAAGCAAAATGAGCCTTAGTTTTTACAGTCAAATCCCAGTTAACTGGAGGCTCGAGGTTTCCACATCAACGTGTGCAATCCTTCCACACTATTTGTGACATAACACTTCTTGTTTGTGCTTGCACGTTTGAAACTCAGATTTAAGAAAGTAAAAAAAGTAAGGTAAAACACTCCACATGACCTGATGATGGTAACTTATGCAGTGACTGTAAATTAAAAATAGCATAGTTAAATGCTTGCTCTTGCCATCCCAGATTAAGTGCATAAAATTGAGTTTTTTTATTCAATACACTTTACTGCTATAGTGCAGTGTTCGGATTTTCATGTTCATATTTGTATTTTGTGCCTCTACTGTGACATGTTTACATGCTTTAATGTTCAAAAAGGTCTTTATTTTTCTCATACTGACTGTGCTGCAGCACCTATTTTCAACCTCTGTCTGAAACCAGAGCCAGTCTGCTCTGATTGGTTAGATGGACAGCTCTGTTGCGATTGGTCAACGCTTAGAGCCCCTTAAATACAATGTGTTGGAGCACTAGCCAATAGAAGCACAACTGTTACACAGTGATGTCACTATGTTACGTATACAAACACATGAGTTCAATCGAGGCGTTTCAGTCAGGTGTGTGGGACAGAAACTCCCTCTGGCTGAACCCTGGGCTTCTAGCCTTTGTAGACTATTGACATGCACAAAACAAACACACACTGTCACACACTACAGCAGGGGTGACAAACTCAAATACACATTGGGACAACATTTAAAAAATGGGTACTAGTCGAGGGCCGAACGTATTGAAATGAATTTATTGCACATATTAAACCTGGGACTAACAAAGCTTAAATGATTGCCTATAAAAACAACATTAAACATTAAATAATCAGTTGCATTCATTTCTTATGGCTCTATCTGCAGCTTTTCCAGAGTCATTTCTTAGGATTACATTTTTCCACAGGCCAATAACAGCTGCAAAAAAACTATTTCCCTCAAAGACAAAAACAAACATGCCCTGTTGTCTCAAGAAAAAAAGTGCAGAAGGAAACATCCATTAAACTCAGTGTGCTGCTCTGTGATGCTAGTTCAGATACTTGGCATCTCATCTTGGGTGCAAGTTCATCAATGTTTGGGCTCAGGCTCTGAGCTGAGGAAACCCTCAGGATGGAGTGAAGGTGTGCGTGCAATATACCGGTGGGCCAGATCTAATAGTAATTTAAAATGATCCTGCGGCCGAAATTAAATCCACCAAGGGCCTGATTTGGCCCCCGGGCCTTGAGTTTGACACATGTGCTCTAGGTTTTCACCAAATAGTTAAAAGGACACAAAAATGATGGTTTTTTTCCATTATTTTCTTGTGGAATATTTGATCCTTAAAACTCTTCCGGCATTAAAAGGATCTAAAGAATCTGAAACAACATGGTGATTTTTTCATGGGAATGTTTGTGTCCAACTATGACGAGCAGACCTTGATTATAAGGGGTGACTTAAATATATACAAGAGACAAAAAGGAGACAAAGAGATGGAACAAAGAGGAACTCACTCTTCCACCTCCAGAGCTTCATGTGCTGCAGAGATGCGAGCCTGTGGGTTTCTCTCTCTCCACGCCTTCTGCATTACTGCCAAACAAACACACAAACAAAGATGTCAGAAGGGTCACATTACACTTAATAACTCAGATAAATCTACTGCACATGCACGAGCTGTCTCACCGGCGTCAGCAGGCCGGAGGTGGTCCGAGTCGCACGTGAAGAAGGTCTGATGGTCTTGTGCCGAAAGGTTCATATCGTAATATGTGAGCGGCTCTCGACCCGTTACCCACGTATATCTGCGCACAACGGGGGGAAAGCAAAAGAGGTTATTAGTTTGTCTTCGTTGCTCAGGTGACCGTGAGTGAGTCACAGGCTGTGCTGAAGCATCAGTGGATTATGTACTCGACTGAAAATGGACAAAGTTAAGAGCTGGACCTCAGCATGCAGGTTGATAAACATAGAACATGACAGCGTGATTACAAGGTGAGGAAAGGACAAGTGGAGGAGGACACGTCAGAGAGAGGATAGAGGAAGGACGACAGAGAGTAGGAAGTGAACCAGGTGTACACAGACGTTGGTATATAAGGGTGCGTATATAAGGACACTAAGAGGAATTGAACAAGAACATTTTAAAAACTATTTCAAAAATGTGCAGAATCGATCAATCCTTTATTGTTTTAGGTCATATTTACATATACATATTTGTGTTGCATTGTTGTAGCAGCCTTAAGATTTTCGTTGCCAAAGCTACGCTGCAGACAATATAACCTTTGATTTGTATTTATTTGACTTAAACTAGGGCAGTTGTGTTGGTTTTAAGTGTGTTGCCTGTAGAGAGGGAGTCTACCTCTAGTGTATGAAAAGTACTCTATAAATACACTTTGATTGATTGATTGATAAAACTGGACAGACTAATGAGGAAAAACACAAGAGAGAAAGAGAGAGAGAGAGAGAGAGAGAGAGAGAGAGAAAGAGAGAGAGAGGAGGTTTCCAGATGAAGGTTGCTTTGCCTCCGTTACTCACCGATTATATTCGGCTCCACGAAATAAATTCAGCGGATTTCTCCATACTTTACATTCTGCAGGAGAGAGAGAGAGAGAGAGAGAGAGAGAGAGTCAGGGGTAGAGTCCACACAGAGCCTCCTGAGAGCATATCTGACAGGAAACAGGTCTGAAAACTCCTCAGAGAGAACACACACACACACACACACACACACACACACACACACACACACACACACACACACACACACACACACACACACACACACACAGGCACGCGCACGCACACACGTTACTGTCAACTGCAAAAGAAAACCAAAACACACTTCACAGCATTGTCTTTCTGCTTGTATCACCAATTTTGCTTCTGAAAACATCGTAACTACAGATCCAATTTCAAAGTTGTCACCCAACAAAGTCAGTGGATGTCAGTCTGCTGACTCAGCAGATAAATCTTTTCTTTTTGATGATTTATTCACACTGTGTCTTCACGCCAAGTGGAATTGGGTTGCAACATGTCCCTGGTTATTTAATCAAAGTCTTTGACTGCTGCTTGCATTTCTTAAATGTTAAATTCTATGAATCTCATTAATGGGGATTCTCTCTGCTTTATTTTTCTTTTATAGTTCAAAGTGCCATCGGCTACCAGTGCAATCATAACAAATGGTGAGTTTTCACGGAAAAGTCTTCCAACTAAAAAGTGACATGTTGATCAGATCCAGTTATTACGGGCTCTCTGACTTCAGAGAGTCTCATACAAGTCATGGGTTTTTACAGAGGTGGTTGGAAACTCGGCTTAGTTTGAAAATGTCAACAACAAGCGGAGAGCATTTTAGAAAGCTCTAACAAATAAATGTTTGCACTATAGCTTGATGCTGTTGAATTAAATTCGTTTTTTTCTACATGGTGGAATTCACCAATTGTCTGTCGCTTTGGGTAAAACCTTCGCTAGAGGAAATGTAATGTAATAGATGCTGCAGTCAGCATGTCGCTGTGTCCCTGGGCAAGACATTTCACCCCAAATTGCTCCTGTGGGGATTGCCCTCAGTATTGAGTATGTAAGTCACTTTGGATAAAAGTGTCTCACAAGTAACATGTAATGTAATGAAATGTATTATAATTAATAATCAAGGAAAATATCTTCTTGTTTTGTGCATGTTTTTACTGCTTTACAACTGAAGTCATTGAGCAATCTATGAACTTTCTGATCTGTGTCTGCTACCAGCAGGGATTGAAATCAAACACAGAAACCCAGAAAAACATATAATTCAACATTACATTTTCACATTAGATACAAGTAGTCTAGCTAATTAGAGCCCACTTACAGCATAATTGGTTGCTAAATATGTAAGAGATTGAAATATAAAAATCCCATCTAAAAGTGATTATTCGACTCAACTATTTCACTAAAATTAAGCTTCATTTAAACAATTTAAACCCTTTGTATTACGTAACCAACAGATCCATGTCTAAATAACCTGAGCCAGTACGATGTACAGAGTGGTCATTACCACAGTTAAAGTCAAATTAAATTCAAATACAATTTTATTTATATAGCCAAATACCACAAATTCAACTTTTGTCCCACCAATTATCAGAACACATTTCAGTGAATGGTGTTTGAGGCTGAAAGAGGGAAAACTGTTTTTGAGATTCATTGTTTTCCCAACAATTAAATAAAATAAAAAACTGATTATGTTTTGTTTACCTCTGCTAGTCATAGTCCATTGAGAAAGTTTAGAAAATGTATGCCTGATGTATTATCTGATAGAATTATGACATTAAGGTGGCTGAGGGTATGCAGTCATTGGACACATTGTTGCCAAATAAGACTGAGAGCAGTGTTTTGTCTTAAAATGTCTGAGACATGACTGCAATGTCAAAAAGAGCTTTGCTTTTATCAGTGCAGAATTAATGGCTGGCCCGTTATTATTCCAGATGGAATTGCCTTCTGCTGAGCGACACTCTCTATCTATTATTGGTTTGTTTTGCCTCGTGCAGCGTCATTATGAACTGGGGATATTATAAATGCATTTTCTGTGTTCATGTCATTTGCACGCCAATCTTTTTGAGTTGACATATTTCCCTCATGGTTGCCTTTCAGATGGAATAGGAATCAACCCTGCCCAGACAGCGGGTGAGTTGTTGTGTTTTTTTGGAGCCTTACATAATCTTTTTTTTTTACAGAAAAAAAGCCCCATTATGGTTTTTTGTATACCTCCACAAAAAGCACTGTGGACTGTATAAGATGTTTTTCTTCCTTCAAATATATTAAGGTGCTTGGAAGCAACTTCTGTTTTTCAAGCCTTTCTCCACTTGTCAATGTGCTTTCATCAAAGCAGAACTGGACTAAAGTGTGTTTCATAATTCACTTTCATAACGCTGGTGGCATTGTGTTAATAGTCTAAGGTTAAGTATACAGTATGTGGGTGGTTCCACTAAGAAGGAAAATGAATGAAAAGCTTAATTTGAAAATCCTTACTTACGGTGACGTTAAAAATCGATTTGGCATGAAGCGTTCCAGTTACTATAATTAAAACGTTTCATTTAAATCGGGTATTGAAAAGTTAAATTACATTTGAATTAAGAGACCAATGATCATTAAAGGTGGGGTAGGTAAGTTTGAGAAACCGGCTCGAGATACACTTTGTTATATTCCATGGAATGCTCTTAACAACCCGATAGCAATGAATATCTGAAGTGTGGAAGCAGTACTGTAAAAAGCATGACCAATCATTTTAGCCGGCCCGGCTAAAATAACTGGATGGCCTACCTGCCTGTCAGCCTTCCATCTGTGCACAAACTTATCTCGTGCCCTCATTGGTCATGTGCGCGTTTGTGTGTTGGAGGAGGGGCTCTGTAAGGAAGTGGCAGATTTGTTCCGGCTGTGTATTTTCAAATCCTAGCGCACTCGAGCTGGTTTCTCCAAAATTACCTACCCCACCTTTAAGAGGGTAAATAAGATAAATATATGATTGATAAAGAAGAAAAGTGCTAAAGAAAACTAACTTTATCAGCTTGGTAAGATAAAGATGATCAGGAGAATACAGTGACTCTGACAAAGGCAGTTGTTAAAAACACCTTAAGGGTTTGTCTGCTAAAGCCTGTTGCCTAGTCTCTCATCTCTTCTCTGCTCGTTGAATTTCCCCCCAAAAAAGGGGGAGGAGCTTCCAGGTGTATGATCCTGTCAAAATATTTTCGTAGAGTAATTGTCCTTAATCTAAAGGTGATGTAATAATTAAATCAACTTTGGACATGCAACATTTCTTTCCCACACTTATACTAGTGTTAAATTAGCTCAAGTTACTACAAGACTGAACATACATCTCTGTATTGGTGCAGGTCTCTTGCTTGTTTGCATGGAAATGCTGTTTTTGTGATAAATGGATGCAGATGCAGCGCCTGGAGAGGCAGTATTTAATGTTAAATTAAATTAAAAATCGACTGGAGGCGAACAAGACACACCAAACTGTTTAGTCAGAACTCCCTTGCCTTTAGATTCTCACATTATTGCCAAACCCTGGTGAATCACTTTTTCTCTGTCAGCCTCCTTTGCGTTTCCCTGAGGGTCGTACTCATTGTGTAGCTGGGTAATGGATGTTGGGTTGTCCGCTTAGAGCCGGATAAGGTAATGCTTTGGTATTTTTCCACCTAAAAAAAGAAAATAAATTCACAACAGCTTTGTATCTGAGCAACATTCGTGCTTCCAAGAATAGCCTCAGTTCAGAAACCTCTGCCTTTTTTCACCCGCTGCAGCCACTCCGCCTCTTGTTCACAGGATTGAGAACACGGTTGACATTTTTTATCCAGATTTAATTTTACAATCCCCCTTTTTAATTCACATGTCTTTTAAATACCAATATCAAACCTTTCCTGCGGCTTAATGGGAATGAGAGTATGTTGGATCTCGGCGTGATCGCGGGTTGAATGAACAAATTATTGAATGGATTTTCTGTCTGTGCTTCCATAATTCATTATTCAAATGAAGTCGCTCGTGTGCTCGCTGAAACCCACCTGCTCTTTAAATAACTGCTAACAATAAAAGGTCAAAAAGTATACTCAAGTATTTTTTTATCCAACAGTTTAGAGATCTCACTGGCTTTGTTTTAAACCACATTTCTGTGTTAATACCCGCATTTTTGAAAAGATGTATGAACATTATTTCAACCTCATATTAATGTTTAAGCAAATCAGTTAAAAGTCAAATTTATTCATATTTTCTTCAGGTAGAAAAGTCCATGTTTCTCTCTCAGCTTGTGATTTGACATCTTTGTTTGCAGTGTATGTGTTTTATTGACAGTAAAAGCCCTTTATAAAAGAGCACAGACTATAAACTGATCTGTATGTGGTGCTCTGTGCTGTGTTTCAGGCAACGTGTTTCTCAAACACGGCTCAGAGCTCCGCATCATTCCCAGAGACAGAGTGGGAGGACAAGGAGACTGATGCAGCTTTTCCTCGTTGGGCGGCAAAATGACTCACCCGGCAGAATCATATAACACTTGAGACCCAGGAAACACCTCAGCTTGTGTCATATTTATTTTCTGGCCCGCAACTGACATGAGAATATACAGTATACATATTTAAAGTTGATGATGACATGCACACACTTGCATGCTTCCTACTTCTTCATTCTCGATCAAGTTCATTTTCTCTGTAAGTGTTGTAGCATCAAAAGATTAACATTGACATCAAGAGATTCTTGGTCATTTATGCACAGGCACAGCAGGTGCATCATGGGACATATTAGTGCTATGATTTGAAAACTGAGTCAACATTACTAGCTTTTGTATCTTTGTAAATGACAATAAATCATCCATATGACCAACAGCAACTTACTGGCAATGTTTGCTTTTGTCTTAACCAACGTGGGAATGTGGGTAGTATAATATATTATATTATTATTATATATTATTATTATTATTATATTATATAATAATATATTGTTTTTGTATTATTTGACTTTAACCATATATATTTATTTGTTCTTTTCTTTTCACTATATCTGTAAAGCGTCTATGAGCACCTGTAAAATAGCTAACAAAAGAAATCATATATTATTATAAGAGGTGAGCCCTTTTTAGAATTAGAATATGTACGACTTGCTCTGAAGTGCTGTTGATATGCTGGTAATCATATGTTTACTTTTTTAATGTCAGGCTGTTATCAGATAATAACCCCCTAAACGCTTGATAAATAAAAATGCTACATGGATCAGAACTGAACTTGTGTACGGGAACAGCACCTTCAATGAATGTCTTATATTTACATTTTAGCTCATGAAAAAACATGCACTTGTTCATTTATCATGCAGTGCAGGCACATGGATCTTTGCTGCCCTCTGTCAGGTTACTTTTTAACATCAGTTTGTGGTCACCCAAAATGTCTTACCTCTGTAATCCACGCCATGTATTATACCCCTAATTTGTACAATAGATATATTAAGGTTAGACCGAGTGATATGAATGATTAAATACTGTATGCATTGCATGCTTAATTGGAAGCTGTGGAACAGGTGGTGAGGAAGCAAGGCAGGCATCCAAGAAGCCTCCATTAAAATGCAGAGGCTCGTCACAATAGCCAGAAGGTAAGGTTCATTAAACACCGGTAACATTGGTTTTCATTTGGGAAATTAATTCAGTTTTGCATTGCAGTCTTTAACCCCGTTGCTTCCTTTTGGCAGGATATTGTTGAATAGAAAATATATATCTTCAAATTAAATATTAAGGATATCAACTGACAAATCATGACTTAGACATGTTTTTTCTAAAATGCCTAATTTGTTCTCTGACTGGCTAAGGAATGAAAACAGTTTATCATCCCCTTTACATTTTTACAACGGGAAAACAAAACTGCACTTAAGTAAAATATGCAAGAGAAAATAATGGAGCGTTGATGCTACAAGGAAAGGAAGCACACAGTTACTGTATATCTCACCATCTATTAGGATGCGGCCTCAGTTGGGGAGGGGGAGGTGCCATCACAAATGGATTTTCTCGTTTATTTTAATCAAAGTCGCTGCTGGGCACATGCACCAGGCATTTACTTCTGAAATGGGAAAAGACCACATGTGAGCCCTGAATGCAGCAGATGTTAGCTCTCAGTGTTGCCCTGAGTAAAAGCTTAGCGGTTATGTGAAAATACTATACATTTTAAGCATTATATGTTTATGACTCTAATGACTTCAATCTGAAACATTCATCTGTATTTTCTTTCCATCAAAGAAAAGAGTAAAGGATTGTTTTCAGGCCAAAGAACTGCAAATATTTGACATGTTTTACCTGTTAACTAAATACAATTGAAAAATGATAACCTTGATTCTTTCAAAAGTAGGACAGCAGCTCATTTCATCACATTCACTGATTCAGCACTCTATTAGGTGTGAAATTACAGTTTCACACTTGAAATAAGGGATACTGCAATTTAATTCTTCATGAGCAATGATGTGGAAAGCTGCTTTATAATCTAATTTCAGGTTGAGTTGTCTGTCCCGAGCCGAGTTCAGGAGGAATTGAGCTGGCTCATAATGTCTCCTGGATGAAGTCCTCTTACTAACACAAGAGGAGCATTTAATTTGATCTCCACTGCATCATTCAAGACATCAGCCAATCCATCATAGTTTCCATGAAACAGGTTTTTTAGGCAGTTTCCAGACAGGAAAATGCGGACGCGGTCTATTTGTGCAGCTGTGGTACAGATCCTCCAGGCAGAGATCACATCATGGTCTGGCTGAACTGAGAACACTTAAGCTGAGATGAGGTATGCTAATGCAAAGAGACAGTGAGGAGGCAATGGGTGTGTGGCTGTGGGTTTATTCAACATTTAGGCTGATAGAAGGAATGAGAGTTTTAGTTGGATTGCTTATACTGCTTAGACTATCAGTAATGTCTCAAAAAACAATTTTTTAAAACCTTAAAAATATTGCTGCATTGCAACTTTTATTTCCCAGATACTGAGAGTTTAACACCTTGACTTCCTCTTCTCCTGTGCTGCATTTCTTCTACTATCTTCTTTTTATTTGTGTTTGTATTGTATTGCATTGCAGGTTGTGTCAGTTCAGGACTTTAGTATTTGTGTACATAGTAAGGCCCAATTTTCTACTCAAAGTGCAGCAGTTTGGGAGGGAGGGTCGGACATGACCCCTGCCCTGTCATGCACTTCTGTGAATTCAGACGGACACACAAAAAAGTAAGAACTACAGAAACAACATACATCTGGTAAGCATTACAAAATATTATTAAAATGTATTTCCTGGTATTGCAAAAAAACACTGGGCCACCTGTTGAACACTTGCAGAGTTTGTGGCTTTATTCATATCAAAAAATTCACACACTTTGATTACTTTGTCATGTGATCAAAGGTGGTTTAAGCTCAGCTAACAATCTGAGTCAGTAGGAATTTCCACCATTGCTTAAATTCTTTAACTTTGAATACAACATGCAGCAAGACAGGATGCTGACACATAGATGGGAGTAGATTCATATTCTGTTTTCATGACTCTGTAACACTTTTTTAACTTATTCCTGTTGTGTGCTTGCCTGCCTGCGAAGAACAGATAGAGGAATCAAGACCCACTCGCTCTAAAATGCTTTAGAAATCACTTGTTGAGAATGCTCCTTGACCTTCCATTAAATGCAGCCAATCTAAAATGAGATCTGGCCTGCCTCCACAGACACAGAGTAGATAAAACTAGCACTTTACAGGTCAGTGAGCCATATAAGGAAATGGGTAAACAGGGAATGGAACAAACAGCCCCCCTCTGACAGACCATCGTGCTCATTCTCACCTCATTCTCACACTTCTGTCACTCAAACACATGCAGAACGTGTATATGTAGGTGTGTGCCATAAAAATAAAGATACACTTGAACCTCAATCTTCATCTGCACACAGCAAGGTGAAATCACACCTCTGATAGATGTACAAAAGCCATGTGTGGCTTCACATCACGATTATTTAATTAGATGAATTATCTAATTCTGCCCCCTTCTGTCTTGAAATTAGTATGGCAGCTGAATGACACCCCCATGGAGGAGCATGTGTCTGATGCATGTTACTGTATTTCTTTCTTTGCTGAATTTTAACTAATTCATGTAGGTGGAGCATCCAGGATATTTAGACATCCTGCAATTTTCTCTAATTCAACAACGAGCAGGGAACACTCTGCATATCTCTGCCATGAGGAAGAGTCTTCATCTGAGCCTCTGATATCCTTCAAGCTAAAGTGAGACAGATAATGTGGCTTTAAAGCGACACTTTAGAGTTTTTTTTTTATCAAGTATTAAAATACACCAAAACCCAGATTGTATATTTCTATGTGATACGTACTGTATTTTTAAAGAGATGCTGTTCTCTTTCCCCTTCTAGTTATCTTGAATTCAAAGGCACTTTACAATCCATATTTAGATGTAAATCATAATTTTACCTTTGATATGTGGTTCTTATCTCAAATGAGAATTAGTATGAGGCTGATGTGAGTCAACAATAATTACACATCTTGTGGAAAAAAGGCCCCTACACATGCAAAATGATCCATTTAGGCTCCTTGATATCCAAAAGATGACTATTCAACTCACAGTCTGATGAGGTTGTGGGAAATTCCTTCTGCCTCTCTCCTTCTTACCCGTTACTGTTTGTCAGATCAGCTTTTCAAGTCTGTAGAATTATATATGTCACCCTTTGGATATGAAATGAATAATAATGTTTGCATCTCAAACCCCTCTTTTGTAAGAGTGCATAACTTCTTTCGGTGATTGAACTGTTCACCTTGGCCAGCATAGACTCTCTTTGGTAAGCCTGGATTCAAAAGCTCAAACCTTTACACATTTCCGTTCATAACAGATACTGTATGTCAAACTATAGCGTGATATATGCCAATGTACATAATCTGTATACTCGAATAATAAAAGTCAGAATGTATGTTTTGTTTGACAATGTGCTTTGCTGCTCTTTAAGTATTGGCCTATTGAATACTTAATGTTAGAGTTGGAGTCATATAATCCACGACAATATCCCAGTTTGCATTTAAAAAGGAGTGCTAACTTGAGCTTTGACCTACTTATTTACTGGATAGGTAAACACACAGCATCTGCCCTGTGTCTCAACAGCAAATGAAACTTTTAGAAAGTTGCCTACCCTATACAGTTTTTCTCATTCGAGTTAAGTGGGCTCCTAAATCTGTCGAGAAGGTCCTAAAGCTAATCTTTTATAATCCCCTCGTTCTTTGTATCTCTTCTCTCTCTCTGCACCAACTTTCTGTACCACTGTGTTTAAAGGGCTTGTGGGAGTATTAATAAACCACTTGGAGAGTGTGTTCTAAGGACACAACAGCCATAGGCTGATTTTAGCTTGTTTGTGCTACAGTATATCCATGAAGCTTGGTCAACACACAGAGAGAGCAAAGTCTCAGCCACTCTACTCTAAGAGCAGCAGCTTTTGTCTCAGCGACAGCAGGCTGAGAGTGAGACTGAGCTGAGTGCAGGGAGCTCTAAAACTCTCAACTCTGTCTTGCTTTGTTGTTTTCAGACATGCTGGCCGTGTGGCTTTTTTAAGCAACATCCATCATTTTCCACTTACATCAAGACTGAAATATTTGAACAACTGTTGGATCGATTGTACATTCATGAAAAATTCCTCTATTCATGCTGACATTATTGTTTTTTATGGAAATGTGTCAACAACTTTTAAATGGCAAACAATTAGCAATGGAATAAACTAATAACATCAGCCGGATATTTAATAAATATTACCAACAAATAATAGGAACATATATGTACCCTTAAACACGACTTCCAAAAGTTATTCTAAGCATTCGTCATAATGTGGCCTAGAGCCT